GATACCTCCGGTATCCCAAATTCCCCTCCTTCCTGAATTAGTCTACTACCATTCACATAAAATCTAGACCTTTATTGGTGGTAGAATAGAGGGGCTCCGTGTCAGGATCTGGCTGAAAGCTTCTTATAAAGTTGAATACTATGAATATGCATAAGACTGAAGTCATTCGTATGTATCTCATATTGAAACCTGATCTGAAAAAGTTGAATGAAAATTAAATTTCCATTCATTCGTCATGCTCTCTCTCCCACCTACTTCCAGTGGTCCCAGTGTACCAAGGTCTAAACAGTCCTTTACTGATGCATACGTCTTCATTATCGGCGGTGGCAACTACACTGAATATCAAAATCTTATAGATTGGGCCTCTAGCGCAAACAACCCTGTCGGAGCTAGTGGAAGTATTTCCAGTGGCTTAGCCGGCAGTGCTGCCAGCAGTGTTAGTGCTGTGGCCGAGGGTCTCGGCTTCGGATCCTCCTCATCTACCGGACGTACAGGGCTGACAGCCTTGGCGACTGGCGGGGCTTCGCGTCACGTTGTCTACGGTTGTACTGAGTTGTTGCGACCCACAGAGTTCCTTTCCCAGGTAAACAGGACTGAACCGGTTCTCTGAACTAGCCAAAACTTTTACCAAAATAGTCCTATTATTAAATATTAATTTAGCCTAGCCTATATAACTTAAGTTGTTTGTTCCTTGGGGTCATTTTTTTACTATTAGTATCGAAACCCACTTCTACCGAAACTAACTTTCATTGGCAAATATTTGTTTGGTTAATCGACAATCCCACTATAAATGTGATTTAGGAAAAGCTTCAAATGGCAAATCTGACATGTTAAATACTGGCATCCGTGACTGTTTATTAGAGTGCCAACTTTGCATTGATACTCACTACTCGGTATCGAATCCTGCTAGGGGGTGCAGATGGGGCGTAGATTAGGTCGAATCTATAGTCTACTATGGATAAGATAGCCTTTTAGGAGGCAGGGCTAAACAAACTTGGATGATATTATGAGGCCTGCTCATCTCATTGTCCTTATATCATCGGTTCTTAGATCATCTTAAGCGACCTATTATGACTGGTTTTTCTTCAAGAATGTATTTATTTTTTTTAATTTAGTTATATCGGAAGTAATTTTTATTTATTCAAAATTTATTGAGAATTCGCCTTATATTGTTATTTACACCTTTTTTGCTTCGATGGCTATTATCTCCTGAATTATAGGAGTAATAGTCTCTTCCCTACAAATATTACGAGTAGCGTCAAATAGA